ATTGGTCCCCAGAGAGATACAAAACCTTAGAGAATTGGTAAAAACAGCCTGAGGACGAGTGGAGGACTGTACTCTGATTGATTAGTGTGTATACTGTATGTGTGTGTATATGTTTTGAAGTGCGTATTTGTGTATAAATGGAGCGTATTTAATGAGTGGAGTCTCAAACTGTTGACCACAGTAATATTTTGTAGGAGGAGAGACTTTGATGAGTGAAAGATAGTGATGGTCTCATAATGGTGATATAGGTCTAATTGTGGTGAGTAATAGATCTTTATGATTATATGTTGGCGATCGTGTGAAACATTTAGTAGTAGTAGTAGTAGTAGTAGTAATAGTAGTAGTAGTAGTGGTGAGTAGTGAGTAAAGCTGAGTAAATCTTCTTATAGTGAGTAACAGATAGTAAAAGTGTACTTCATATTGCACTGAGTAAAAGTTGGTGAATTAAGAATATTGATGATAGTGAAAATTATAAGAATAGTGAGTAAAAAAAAAATGTGTAAAATATAAATGGAAACATAATAGTGTGTGTGACAATTGGTGAGACGTCGGTGTGTGTTGGTCTGGACAGTCGAGTATACTAATAGATTCATGAAGGACAAGACGCATGTTGTTCATTATTGATGGTTCTCCTTCTTCGGGGTAGACAGGTGTGGAGTCTTAGTGTGTTGGAAGCCTCGGGACTACATATCACCTGGAACACATCTCGTTGTATAGTACCGTATATAAAGCTCCAACGATAGGAATTTGCATATGATGATTTTAAAGTTTGTTTAGGAAGTGTTTGTCAGCCGTTGGGGTGATTGGCAGTGTGGTGGAGAGAGAGAGAGAGATATTGGTTCCTTTAATAATTTTATGCAGCTTACCATAGAAGGCCTGGCATGATTCAGAGTAAGGCGGTGATTAGAAGTAATGTTGGTTTGTGTGATAGAGAAAAATAAGCTTATTTCATGCTATCTGGTTATTCAAGCTGGATTAAGTGAAAGATGGAAGTCAGGTTCTCTCCTCATATTCAAATATTATGCTGATAAGAGAGGTTTTATTAAGGAAAAGCATATTAAAGTTTTTAACGCGAGGAAGTTGTGACAGGTTTACGACAATGGTAATATAAATTATTTATTCCAACACTGATACAACGATACATGGAACAGCCCTGACCTCTCCCTGGGCGGTGCCAATGTTGTTGAGAGAATTTCAACAGGAAAGATAAATATAATTTTCTTTGGGAGAAAACTTTTTTCTTTCACAATTACAGTGAAATATAGGTAGCTGGAATGATGTGTCGGTAAGAAATGTTAACCTTATCTAGTGTGGATGTAACTTTACGTACACCGGTGTGGAAGAAAGGAAGACAATTTAGCAGTGTAACCGAGACACCTTCCAACTGTATTGATATTATTAACATTTTCTTTCATTTTCTGTTACTGCGACCATACATCCTTAGTCTTACCGTAGTTTTTGAAAGAGTGAAGCGTATCACTAGTATGGTAACACAGGAGGCGAGCGAGAGGAGCCTTTCCATACCAGCACTAGCGGGCTTGTGGCTGTTGACTCGCCTTCTCACACCCACAGTGGTGCCGTTCAATTTTGTCCAAATTTTTATGTCTATTCTTCCCAATAAAAACTCGGCCACAAGGAAGTTTTGGACCTTATGACCATTATATTTAGCCTTATTCAGAAAATACGTCAGAATGAGCCTAATAAATCAGCAAACCTGCAAATAAATCTGTAGGAACGGCGGTACTGTGTTGAATCACTGGTTAGTTGGCGACTAGATGCCCTCCAGGCAACCAGCTTCGTCTTCCAGAGATTGTACTGGAATTCTGGAGTAAAAAGGTGAATGGAAAGGAGAGGCGAACTCGGTGCTTAAAATACTCTTCTAAATGAACTATCAGTTGAAGATTCCGCCATATACGTAAATTTATCGAGAACATAATTAGTAATCATTAATCTGAACATATAAAATTTGTTGTAGCAAGTCCGTAGACTTGCTAGTGATAAATATGCATTAAGAAACATCAAACTGCACTGAACACTGTTGAGTCAAACACCCATGGCTGCTAAATACAACTGCCAGCTCCACTAGCATACTAGTGACTGAAAGTTAGTAACTACCAACTTCCAGGCGAGTGGAAATCCGATATCTGCTAGCGCTAGAGGAGAGTTAGTCACGGCTAGTGGAACCGTTGACACGACGCGTTAAGGCGTCAGTTGCTATCACGTCAGCACTGGCGGCTAATAAAATGCCTCGTGTACACGCGACCTAATTAGTGACAAAGACTCCTCCTCCCACCCACCACCACCTGACTTTGCTTAGAGCTATGTTCTTCAGCCGAATCCTTCATTAGCTGGACTAAACCCTGAATACAAAAATGGACGAGGAACCAAACACGATAATAAATTAATGAAGGTAACTTTAAAGGCAAAAACAGAGGAAGTAGTTTATATAAGGCTGAGTGACCGAGATAGATCACCAAGCTGAGTGAGCTGCCTTGTGTGGGAGATCACGCAGTAAGCCGTTGGGCACAGAGAAAACCACAAGTGGGAGGCAAGAGAGTTAAGGAACGCCATTCTTCACTCTCTGACCTCTTTATACTCCTCCCACTCGAGTGCTTCCACGGACAAGTGACTGACGATCTTTGACCTGCTACACGTCACATCACCTCTGCTTCTGTGTTAAATAAACATTTAGTCTATATAGCAACTTTGATAATTCCTTCACTTTAAACTTCCAATTCACAAAGGAGTTTCTCTTTCAATAATATGTTAGAATATTAAGCTAGAACTTATTTTCGTTTTATAAATTCAATGTACGGAGAGGTCGTTGGGAATTGGATCTCTGATTGTCGTCAAAATTCCCATAAACACAAAATTCATCAACTATATTCCAAGCAACTCACTCTCCCAGGTCACTAACCTTCGTGTCCAATAATCAATGCAGAGGAGTTGAGCAACACTGAGACGTGAGCTTCCCTGAATATAAACTTTATTTATCTTGCCTTCTGTGTAGTGTGTTCATTTTGTCAACAATCATTTTCCTAGATAATAAATTATTCAAGTTTATGTTTACAGCTAAATTTTCTTCAGAATTTAACACCATCTGGCAGCTATTTATGAGTCATACACTTGCTTGGTTTACAGCTGGTGAACGTTGTTTTTCATGAATTTATTAATTTTAGAACAGAATAACAGTAAAAAAAAAAACATTCTATAATACAAACAGATATATATATATATATATATATATATATATATATATATATATATATATATATATATATATATATATATATATATATATATATATATATATATATATATATATATATGCTGATAACCACAAGGAAAGAAGAAAACACGAAGTTCCCAAGCGCTTTCGTGTAATTCACATCTTCAGGGGTGAGTACAGACTAAAGAGAAATACAAACCAAGGTGTATATATACAGAGGAGGGTGAGACCAGGTCCACAATGGTCAGGTATTAGGTAATGACCCTACTAATCTTTAAATAGCACACAACGGTTGGTGGTCAGGTCAGGTCAGAGGGTAAGGTGACCCAACTTTCTCACCTGGTTACAAATCTTCTTAATTACAAAATTGTCCAGTTTGTACAGGCCATTACTCAAATTCATGTTGAATGCTTCGGTATGTTTAATAAGACTAGATTCTATGATGTTCCTATTATCAATGGACAATTACAAGTAATTAGGAGATTATCCAGTCAGAAAGTTGTTCCCTCTGAAATGACCACAACAGGTGTGTGCTATTTAAAGATTAGTAGGGTCATTACCTAATACCTGACCATTGTGGACCTGGTCTCACCCTCCTCTGTATATATACACCTTGGTTTGTATTTCTCTTTAGTCTGTACTCACCCCTGAAGATGTGAATTACACGAAAGCGCTTGGGAACTTCGTGTTTTCTTCTTTCCTTGTGGTTATCATATACCTAGATCACGCGCACCTACAGTGATTTACTTGCATATATATATATATATATATATATATATATATATATATATATATATATATATATATATATATATATATATATATATATATATATATATATATATATATATATATAATATTCAATTGAAGCCAGATATTTGTTTAGTGTTTTGTCCGCAACTGTACACCATTTGGCAGCTGATCGTCAATGTCAACTGTATGTATTATTGTCAGTCTTTGTTTTTTAACCACTGCACAGCGACCCATGTGTACGTTCGTCCATGCGATCGATCGTCTGTAGGAGTCCGTATGTGTCAACGTCCAGTCGCAAAACCGACGCGTACATCTATTAAGGCTATCCTTTGCGTGTAGGAATCCGTTGAACTAAATTCAAATGAAAACAGTTTATTTAGTCAGAAAGTTAACGGGTATGGGTTGTGCATTGGTGATAACACTAACACGACTGAGCCTTTTGAGAGCCGTGGAACTCTAGAAAAAGAGCGCCTGGCAGCACATATACAGTCTGAATCATGGTAAATACCTGATGCTTAACAAATATATATATACGGTTACACACTAAACAGTTAACGCATTTCCTCATTTACAAATGTGATTTATTTTCCTCCATCTTCCGTCTCTCGTGGAGGAAGTTAACTAACGTGTGCCTCGAGTTATTCTCGGCTTTTTAGACATAAACTTTCACACACAATCTAATCTTCACCTCATAATCACCAACTTCTCTTCTCCGGCAGTTATCTCCAGGCGTAAATTTCTCCTTTCACACATGACTCAGTTTAACCTTCCCATGCGTCAAAATGTCCTTCCTTTCCCATGTATCAGTTTTCTCTCTCATGTGTCATTTTATCCGCACATTCCTCAGTTTCCCTCCCCTGTGTCCGTTTCTAGTCCCATGCGTCAGTTTCCTGTCTCAAGCGTCATTTTTCCTCTCTTATGCGTCAGTGTTTCCTTGTACCTTTTCCTCCTATGCATCAGTTTCCTGTTTCCTTTCACCATTTCCCTATCCTGTAGTAACACGTGGTTATGTCTTCAGCAGGTGACGGCAGCTCTCTCCTGGCGGTGGTGTTCCAGACGGGGTTGGTGTATCTCTTACGAACCCACGACGATCTCACCCCCATCGTCATCAGGACCGGCCTCAGGGGTGTACAGGTGAGTCAGTGGTGTATAGGTGAGTCAGTGGTGTACAGGTAAGTCAGTGGTGTACAGGTGAGTCAGTAGTGTCCAGGCGAGTGTGTACAGGTGAGTCAGTGGTGTACAGGTGAGTTAATGGTGTACAGGTGAGTCAGTAGTGTCCAGGTGAGTGTGTACAGCTGAGTCAGTGGTGTACAGGTGAGTTAATGGTGTACAGGTGAGTCAGTGACGTCCAGGTAAGCTAAACACACCCATCATAGAAGTCCAGGTGAATCACAGGTGAACGTTTAGGTGAATCCTGGACTTCGAGGTGAGTTTTGGACCACTACAGTATGTAGTGGGGGGGGGATGGACCACACACACACACACACACACACACACACACACACACATACTATCTTGCACTCTCCTTCGCTATCTGCCCAAACTTCTCCCTCACCACTCTCCCTCCCACACCTCACCCTCTCCCTCCCACACACACCTCACCCTCTCCCTCCCCACACCCTCACCCTCTCCTCCCACACACCCTCACCACTCCCTCCCCACACACCTCACCCTCTCCCTCCCCTCCCTCACCCTCTCCCTCCCACACACCCTCATCTCCCTCACCACTCCCTCCCACACACCCTCATCACTCCCTCCCCCTCTCCTCCTACTTCACCTGCCCTGACCTGATAAAGCAGCCAATGTTTACATAGCTTGTCCCCCTGAATGACGGTGTTGGTATCTCCTCTTTCGCATAACACCAGGTCATTACACTCTCTTTATGCTCACTGTATACTCACCATACACCTATAATAGTGACGCTGTATGTTTACCACACACCTACAGTACTCACTGTATACTCACCATACACCTATAATAGTGACACTGTATGTTTATCACACACCTACAATACTCACTGTATACTCACCATACACCTATAATAGTATATGTTTACTACAGTACTCATGTATACTCACCATACACCTATAATAGTGACACTGTATGTTTACCACACACCTACAGTACTCACTGTATACTCACCATACACCTATTATAGTGACACTGTATGTTTATCACACACTAACAATATTCACTGTATAAATAGTCATCATACGCCTACACTGCAGACCCGATATATTCTCTATATTCATTATACACACTCACCGTAAACCTGAAATAGTCTCATTGTAAACTTACTATTCTATCATACACTAAACGATTATCACGGATTTTACTACAATCCTCAAACACTTATTATACATGTGGAATATTCTCAATACGTTAATAGTACTCTTCTTATGCTCAGTTAATAATCTTACAGTACATTAACTTAACAATACAATAACTTATACACTTATATAATCAATTTACTATTATAGATGATGGACTCAGGACAAAGGCTAAGAGTCACCTAAATCAATGTTTAGCGTGACAAAGGGTAACAGTTCTCTTTATGATCATTTAAGGTTAAAACGCCTTTAAAAAATAACCCTGAACTATTCTGTGATGTTTGTTGAACGGTAATTGACGGCATTATAAGTTAAAGAAAAAGTTAACTCCTCATTTGAAGTACACACGGGTAGGTTAGGTTAAGGTTAGGTTAGGTTAAGGTTAGGTTTGGTTAAGGTTAAGTTAGGTTAAGGTTAGGTTAGGTTAAGGTTAGGTTAGGTTAGGTTAATGTTTGAGATATGGACAGTACTTTTACTTTGGTTAGGGAGATGGGATACTATATACAGCATCACTTTAATAACTCTCACAATTTATATAACTTTAGTGATATTTTTAATCCCATAAACACCCTCATTAACGTCTCCTGTACACTAATTAGGCTCAAGGAAATTATATAATGCAAACTTAGCCTTATAATGGTCTCCTAATGGTAATCCCAGCCCCAGGAGACTGTGGGTCGTTGTGAGGTATAATGACCCTTTTGTCGCCAACATCTGAGTCCACGCAGTTAGAAGATTAAGTCAGAATTCCTAATTTTAACTTATCTCTACTGAATGTTTTGAGGTCCCGTGAAGATACTACACTGGGTACATCCTATAGCTCTCTCTGTACAAACTTTTAACCAGATCTGATCGTCACTACTGATCTCGGATATGCGTCAGATCTTGGTGTATCAGATATATAAAAACACTATACTTCAGGTCGCCATATGCGTGTGTATCATTCATTGGTTCAGGTCCCCTACTAGTAGAAGTTATACTATCGAGTAAGAGTAGACAGAGTCCTTGAGTTGAATCTTCTATCCTCTTAAAAACATCATAAGCATCGTTTTTACTTTCTCTCTCTCAATATCTGACTCAACCGATTTTACCAAAGAGAAGACCCGAGTAAAATACAATGAAATATTTACTTTGTTTACTAATATGTTAGGTTTTTAAAGAGTGACTTCGTCCTTTGGTTCTTATAAAAAATAATATATATATATATATATAGTTTTGATTATTGATGATGATGTTCATGGAGTTTTAGATACACACACACACACACACACACACACACACACACACACACACACACACACACACACAGGTCATGGGTGACTACAATACCCTCTTGGTCACAGCTGGCTGAGGTCCTAGACTGGAGAAAGTAATCATATTAATAAAAAAAGTCTTCTCATTTAAAGCGGGAATCCTCCACACTGGATGGTCAGAACTAGTGATAATAATAATAACTCCAGAGAGAAACTAAGAGAGGAAGAATGACAATAGTACAGTAACGTCCGTTTCAGCTCAAAACTTCACATTCTGTAATTCCCTGAAAAGTGAACGACAATATCACCAAGTACAGTACGTTCATTAGCCGTCAACCCAACTACCCACATTAGCCAGTGTTCAAATGTTCAGCATCACTCTCTCAAGCTTCCTTCCGCCACCGGCTAAACTATACTAATGTTTGTTGCCATAAAATAAGAAGAGCGCCGCTACAGACACAAGTTTGTGTCTCTGGGGTGGAGGAGATACGCGGATGTTGTTGATTACTCTTATCAATGTTTCTCTGTGTTGAGGTGAGTAGAGGGTCAGAGAGTGTAGTAACTAGGGAGGGTATTGGCTGTATGTGACGGACAAGATTCTTTTGTTTTTCTGAGAAGGGAAAATTATGGTTTATATATTATGGTTTATATATTATAAAACAAAAGTAGGGGAGAGTCTTCGTGGACATTGTTTCAAGTCTCTGTGTTGACTGAAGGTGAATGTTGTCAGCTGTGTTTTGTATACATGTTGCTTGGGGAACACTTATGTACCCAGAGGTTCTTTTGGGATTTTATGCTAATGAGAACAATTTATGAATCTCACTTCAGTGTCTTCTCTTCCTCTATCTGTCATGCTCCTCTTGTCTCTACTCTCCTTAATTTTACTTCCTGTTCTCAGTTTAATAATAAGGTACTGTAAGCAGGACAGTAAGGATTTATCAAGTCTATTCTCCTGTAACAGTAAGTCACAAGTGATCTTATTTGCTAAGATATTTTTTCTATCGTATTTATTGAACACTGAGACCATAGTATGTAAACATTTATTGATAATGTATTTTCTTAGTTATCTATTCTCTAGGTGAGGGACGGGTACACTGGGTGGTTGAGACAGACAGTCGGTGTTTTAGATAACCTCTGCAGTGTTTGGTACAGGTGAAACGAGGAGCATATTCACGTCTAGAGTACAGGAGTATTTATGATTTCTTATTGCGTTTCTTTCTCGCACCTCTTACTGGCTCCAGTACTTGGCTTTGAGTCAAAATTATATACATCAATCAATCAATCTCGCCCCTCTACAGAACCGTAAGTCACTCCCACACCACAACTACACTACGTCTGTACCACAGTGGTTTCAGTGTCTGCTCTGTCCCACAGGTGGAGTGGACCAACTCGGGGGAAGTGTTGGCCGTGGCTGGACATTTGCCTGACGAAGGTTGCACTGTCGGTGCCGCCACAGCAAACCCCGTCAGGAACGTCGTCAAGTTCTACACGCGGAGTGGCACGTTACGGTACACCCACCACCTACCACTATGCCAGGTGAGCCCGCGTCTTGACAGGTGTAGATACAACTAACAATCCCTTTGCTTCCTCTCTCCGGTAAGTTATAGGAGTCAGTTTTTATAAACGTTACTTTTAGTATTTGTTCTATCGAGGACATCACAACAAGGAGCAGTTTGTAGCCTCAGTGTGCCTCTCTCATAGGAACATTTACAAGCGTCCCTGGGTGGCAGACTGGTGGCGTTAAGCGTCATACGTCACACAGGTTTATGTGTATTGGTATAATCCGAGGCACCCATTGTTTCCTCCTTTATAGGTGGAACTTTTTTTTTTCCTGTCTTTCAAGCTTTTTGTCGCTATAATGCAGGGTGGACGGAAACAAGAGCAAACATGGACTTTTTCCTTAGACATTCTCACTCAATCACACTTACTTCTGCAACAAATGTGTTCTGACATGATGTTCCTCTACCACAAGAACGTCAATTGTCTATTTGGTTTGTCCCTGTAGCGTGACACCACCTAGCAGCAGGACCTTCATCACATCCTCTCTCATCCACGAACACCGCTGCTTCCGGGATGTTCCTCCTTTTCACGTGTTGTATATATTTCATCTCATCCTTTCATCATCTTCTTGACCTTTCCTCCTCCTCCCTCACACTGACCGCTTCTGAATTATAACATTACTTTACCAATCTTTCACGAGCTCTTCGGTCAATAAGTCCACACCACCTGAGCAAACCTTAATCAGCTCTTTGTGCGACACTCCTTTCTCTTCCACATGTTCTGATGTCTGTAATAATATTTTTTACATCTATTTCACGCTATATATTGCTTTATTTTTCTCATATCTAATTTCATCCTCCTGCCTTCAGAGTCTAAAGTTCACACTCTTGTAATAATATTGCCTCGACATCTCTCCTGCACGTCCCCTTCTTTGCTTCCTGTGCCACAGTTTTCTCTCCATATTCTTCATTGTATGTGTTACTTTTTTCTTCCTGTATTCTTCGTTCCATCTGCTGGCCTATTCACTCCCCGGTATCTTAAACACCAAGCTTTCTCCCTTCCACCTCCCTTCTTACTGACATTAATTTCTCCCTGCCTCTCTCTTTTAACTTATATTCATCACTTTACTTCACTATAACATTCCCTACTACAATGTAAACTTTTCAAAACTCATTTGCTAACTTTCCTTCTCAACAGCCCACTAGAACAGCGTCATTTGCCACTACCAACTGACTCACCTTCCATTCCTTACACCTGTTTACTACACCTGTACCACTCTCCTTTACTCTAGTTACCACACCTCTGTTACTACCACATCCATGAAAATACTGATCATACTTGGTAAAATTGTACATCAATACTTTTACTCAGATCAATGTTCCTCTCGCCTTTACCACATATATTTTCAAGTTTTTCCACGGCACTTTTCACTTCGCCTATTCTTAAAGTTTTTCCACATTGTACCTAAGACATCCCCAGTCATCCAAGCTGTGATTTGGTTATCTATATTTACAGTTGAGTAAATGAAGGCTGTCGTGTGCAATGCCTGCCATACTGTCTCCCTCGATAAGAAAACAATACTCTACGGTGCGCTGTCGTGTTGTTAGGCATAAGGAAACTATTTTCATTCCTCACTCCTAATTACGATCCACTGAAATACTCTTCCCATCTCCTTAAATAACCACCGCCAGCCTCTCAACCCACCATTCTCTTTCCCTGGTTTCATTTATTGTATCTTCTACCCACGTACCTCTTAGACTGTAATCTTAAACTGCTTCCATTCCCATTTAACTCCTTCTCTCCCTTTCCTACCCCTCCCATCCTTACTCCTCCCTCCCCCCTCCTCCCCTCCCCCTCCCTCCCCACCCCTCCCCCTCCCTCCCTCCCCTCACCCCCCCACCTCCCCCCCTCCCACCCCTCCCTCCTCCCCCTCCCCTCCCTTACCCCTCCCCCCCCCCTCCCTCCCTCCCCCTCCCTCCCCTCCCCCTCCCCTCCCCTCCCCCTCCCCTCCCCCACCCCCCCTCCCTCCCCTCCTCCCTTACCCCTCCCTCCCTCCCTCCCCTCCTCCCTCCCCCTCCCCTCCCCTCCCCTCCCCCCTCCCACCCTCCCTCCCCCTCCCTCCCTCCCCTCCCCCCCCCCCTCCCCTCCCCCCCCTCCCTCCCTCCCCTCCCTCCCCTCCCACCCCTCCCCTCCCCTCTCCCTCCCACCCCTCCCCTCCACCCCTCCCTCCTCCCCTCCCCTCCCCTCACCCCCTCCCCTCCCTCCCCCTCCCTCCCTCTCCCTCCCCTCCCCCTCCCTCACCCTCCCTCCTCCTCTCCCTCCCCTCCCTCCCTCCCCTCCCTCCCTCACCCCTCCCCTCCCTCCCCCACCCCTCCCCTCCCCACCCCTCCCCTCCCTCCCTCCCTCCCTCCCTCCTCCCTCCCTCCTCCCCCCCTCCCCTCCCCTCACCCCTCCCTCCCTCACCCCTCCCTCCCTCCCTCCCTCTCCCTCCTCACCCCTCCCTCACCCCTCCTTAACCCCTCCCCCTCCCACCCCTCCCTCCCCTTACCCCTCCCTCCTTACCCCTCCTCCCTTACCCCTCCCCCTCCCCACTCCTCTTACCCCTCCCTCCCTTACCCTTCCCTCCCCTCATCCCTCCTCCCTCACCCCTCCCTCCCCTCACCCCCCCCCCCTCCCTCCTTACCCCTCCCTCCCTTTTACCTCCCTCCCTCCCTTACCCCTCCTTACCCCCTCCCTCCCCCCACACCCCACCTCCCCCATAAACTTGTGTCCTTCAGTTCGTCGACTTTTGTAGCATTCTTTTTTTTCTTGTTTAATTCTCTTTTGTTCTGAACCTTCTATTCATTAATTCTCTTTTGTTCTGAACCTTCTATTCATTATTACTCGGTCTCTCTGCAGTCCTGAATATCTATGTTTGCCTACAATCTCACCCAGTTCCCTATTAACAACTCTGACAATTAAATTCTCCATTACAATAATTATATATATCTGGCATCGGAGTTTTAAATATTTTTTTTTTATGGTGTTAAATGAACCTCTCTCATATCACTCTTCTCACTACCTGGTTCATATACTTACAATACATCATCTCTCATACCGTGTTTTTAGTCTGATCTACAGTTACCTGGGATTGATCATTTTATATTTTATCAAACAACCGTAAAGCCCCGCCACACCAGGTCGCTCTTATTCTCTCAGATATTCTTGGCTGCTCTCCCTCCACTTGTTCCCAGCTGATCTTTTTTGTGTACCTCAGTGAGTTTTATCTTCACAAGAACAAGTCGTCCAGTTTCCTTCCACTCACTGAGGTTTTTATTTTATGTTTTCTTGATTGAACGCTAAAGGGTATCAGCCTTATATCTCCCAGCCTGGTTACGTCACACCCCGGGCAGATGACCTGGTTGAATCATTTGTTTAAGTATTCAAGATGAGAGTTTATAAATGTTAATGGTGGTGAGGGGGGGGGGTGGTAAGGACGTGCATCAGCAATATAATGTTTGAACACGGTCTATCACAGGTAGCAGTGAGACGAGATGTGCAGCGTTTCACACCTGAGTGGAAATCAATCAATTTAAAGGTGTTCACATCTTGGGAATGGAATTTTCTTCCCAGAGGAGAGAGCGGGAGATGGATGACTGGAGGAGAAAGAGTGGCAGGAATTCGTTTAACTGGGGTCAGAAAATGGAGAATCTGTCGGCTAGGTCACACGAGGTTGAAGGTCAAAGTTCAAGCATTATGACCTCTGTAAATGTAATAGTTTCTGTCGGTATTGTAGCAAGTATTCACGATCATTGAATATAACTGATACACTGGTGCCTGTTTCACCCTTCACATCCTACTAAATAATTAAATTGTTTAGTCCTTCTACTTTATTTTGCCGTTCTACAAGCAACACCGTTTAAATGGAACTATAGGGAGTATAATAATTGACAAAAATACTTACATCTCTATATAGGATATGTTCGCTCTTATTTTCAATGTACTTTTATTACCATGTTGTTCATTGACGCTGAACTGTGTTTGAGGTACAGTCCCCTTCACTAGTGCGTTTACGGGAGCTCGTCATATAAGCATTCCACAAATCATTATGAGATATTTATTTTAAAATTGTTTTACTTTGATTTCATAGTAAGTTTCTATTGCGAGTTTCCTTCTGTCGAATTTAAACAAACACAACACTGCCACACTGCACAAAACCTGACGAGCCCCTGTAAACGCGCTAGTGAAGGGAACTGTACCTGATAATGTGAGAAATGCCTGACATTACAGTTAGTTCTACTTTGAACCGTACTCCTGCCGCCCCCACCCCGTCTACCATACTCCTGCCGCCCCCACCCTGTCTATACTCCTGCTGCCCCCACCGTCTCCTGCCCCACCCTGTTACCATACTCCTGCCGCCCCCACCCTGTCTACCATACTCCTGCCGCCCCCCACCCCGTGCCCCCACCCTGTCTGCCGCCCCACTGCCTACCATACTCCCGCTGCCCCCACCCCGTCTGCCGCCCCCACCCCGTCTACCATACTCCCGCCGCCCCCACCCCGTCTACCACACTCCTGCCGTCTATGTTGAAAACCCTCAAGACTGACCTTTTGCTCGTCGACCTAACGTAGCTGGTGTGGGTCTGTTGTAAATGTAGTTATAATTTAATCGATAAGAATCTTGTAGTAGCAGTAACCCTGACGACTCCTCCACACGCTTATTAACGGTTCATGTCATGTGTGTATTGGCTGTATCGCTCTGTACTTTTCTTTATTTTTGGATAAATTCATAAACAAATTTATTCGTTGAAGTTTTGAGGGAGAAGCCAGTGTAGGTGGGCCAGGTAAGACCTCCACCAATGTCCTGCACTTGATAGCTTTATAATTCACCTCATTCCTACCACCTCGCCATTTAATTTAAACCAGTTGTCCTTATAAACAAAAAATGAATATATTTCACACAGATTTCCTAAAGTTTCCAACAGACGGTAGTTAGTATGTTGATCTGACGAGGGAAGCTTTTTACCTCAGTGAGTGAGGAGGAACCAAGGCTCTACGAGGTGTTATTATTATTATTATTATTATTATTATTATTATTATTATTATTATTATTATTATTATTATTATTATTATTATCATTATTATTATTATTATTATTATTATTATTATTATTATTATTATTATTATTATTATTATTATTATTATTATTATTATTATTATTATTATTATTAACGAGAATATAAGTGAGGCCATCCCGGACACTAAACTAAAACACACAATACTTCCCCAAAACTTTCTACAAAAAATATATATTTCTGTAGGACGATGTAGGTAAGTGGGAGGGAAGGACCCGCGGGAGAGGGTGGGGAGGGGAAATACGTGGACGGCTCACTTCTCTCCCCTCCTTACCTCTACTCTTGTCTCCCCTCCTCACCTTTTCTCTTGTTGACAATAGAAGGAGAAAAAAAAAGGGGGGGGGGGGGTACTTATCCTACGTAACAAGAGAACTTACTAATGAGGACCAAGTTGCTTGTGTTTTAAGGACACTACAGTACCTCTTAGCACCTCCACTGACGCTGACCATATCCTAACCTGCCCCCCGTCACTCGTCCGGGTATTGACACAGCTCTTTAATAATGTGTTACCATCAGGCAATCTCCTCGGTGACATGACTTGTGTGAAAGTTAATGATATGAAAGAAGTGAACATTGAATAGGAAGTGATTAAAGTCACTGTAAATGATATGATCAGACCCTTAAGGTAAATAACAGGTAGACGTTAGAACAGTTAAAATATGTATTTATGACACGTATATGTATTAAGGAAAGTCATACAGAGAAACACTAAAACAAAGTATATACATTATTAGTGGACAAGGAGAAAGCAAATAGAAAGTCCCTGTGGCCTCGTATGGGTTAATTTACTAAAGGCTCTTAAGTGGTTTTACAATGGAATTATCGCGTGAGTAAGAAAAATAATTCAGGGATGTATGAAGGAGAGGTTAGGGGGGGGGGTCATGTATGTTATGTCACCTTGGTTATTGGGCGTCGTTCTAGATGAAACAACTTGAAAAATAACAATAGGTGAGTAGAAGTTGTGAGAGTTGTATACAGGTGATGCTGTACTGTGAGCTGACTGAGAGAGAGATGAGGAGAAGACTAATATAGTTTGCAGGACAGGGATTTGAAAGGCTACTTCAGAAGAGAACATTGTTATGGTACATTAGAGGGAAGAACAGTCTCTGTGTAATGTTATTAACGCATGGAGAAGAACTGAAGGTTATCAACCATTTATGATAATTGAAACAATGTCCAACAAACTGGTAAAGGGAGAAACAGAACTAATAACAGGATATTGCAAGGAAGAACAAATAGACGCTTGATGATATTAAAAGTGAAACAAGGAAGACTCTCGTACAAGGAAGACTCTCTTACAAGGAAGACTCTCTTACAAGGAAGACTCTCGTACAAGGAAGACTCTCGTACAAGGAAGACTCTCTTACAAGGAAGACTCTCGTACAAGGAAGACTCTCGTACAAGGAAGACTCTCTTACAAGGAAGACTCTCTTACAAGGAAGACTCTCGTACAAGGAAGACTCTCGTACAAGGAAGACTCTCGTACAAGGAAGACTCTCGTACAAGGAAGACTCTCGTACAAGGAAGACTCTCGTACAAGGAAGACTCTCGTACACAAACTCATTTTACCTGTGAGCCTTAGACACACACTGACGTCAGTACTAATATTTAAGATTATCTCTGACGTCATTACTTAGATTTAAAATCATCATGCTCTAACAAGTAGTTTCATAACTAGACATGTTTTTGTTTACCCTTAAGTATAATTCAATGCATCTTATATAATATTCTACAAATGTTAAAGTTGCCGTGATCATGGTGTAGCCGGGTACAGTACTTGTGTATCTTGATCAATATATATTTATTGCACTACGTCACACTGGGAAAAATCAATTACATTAAACATTGAAAATAAAAAGAACGACAGTGAGTTCATCTTTGGTGACGGGATCGACTCAACAAACAACCACTGTCTCCTGGCAACGATAAGGGATCTGCATGGAGGAGTGTTTGATCTAACTAACATAACTGGCAACGGTGGAGCTGGACAGTCTGTAAAATATTAAGAGAATTGGTAGATTTGACAATATTGTAAGAAATGAAAATATACGAAGAATATGTGAAGTGGAAAAGTCTCTTGAGAGTCAATTGTTATGAGAATGAGATGGTTGGAGGCGGGAAAAAGATGAGCTGGTTACGTAGGGGATTTAGTGACGTCAAGTGGCGCCACGTTAAATAAAGCCGGAGGAGATAATCGTGGATCGTATATAGCGAAGGATATTTCTTACATAACAATGGCGGCCTGTCAACTCTACCTGGTATGAACAGTGAACTGATATGAGGTTAAGGATAAATTCTTGTGTACAGTACGTAAAGGACAAAGGGGAAAATGTCACTCTCTCGTGTTTTAACCAAATATGAAGTATTTTCACACATACCCTTGGGTGTGGTGGTGTGTGTTGCTCGCCCTACCAGATACTTCCTTAGGCGAGTCATTTAGTGGCTTTCCTTGGACGTTTCGTTATTTTCTGCGTCTTTCTTCCATTTCGTTTGGATGATTGTTGGAGAATGAATTGACCACAACACTCATACACAACTTTAGTTTTGATTGCATAATAAAAAAAGTCGAACTCATACCGAACCTCAGGAACCGAGACCTGATCATTCATGCTCCAAAGTCCTATAACTAAAGGAGAATACACATAGATATCTGTAAGAAAAAATACTTGAATTAAATTAACAATCTTGAATTGTTTCTATCAGCTAAATTAAGGAATTGGCAACTGTTTTGTTCAGATCTCAAAACAATCCTCTTCTACTGTATGTCACAAATAACACCCTAATCATTCATCATTAAATTACTACAGATAACTTAACCATATATTTTAACACAAATATTAGCCTTAGTACTATTTCAGTCGTCTAATCACAGAACATTGCCCAATAAAGTATTTCAGACCTCTATAGTCAGAGGCACCAACCTGACACTTACCCCAGGGTCTGTATGTGCAGTATCGGACCTCAGGGTTACGATACTTTTTTTGATGGTTGACCACTTTTTTAATATATCTGTGAGGCTAAAGTGAATAATATAATGGTTATTATTATTGTTTTATTATTATCATTATTTATTATTATTATTATTATTATTATTATTATTATTATTATTATTATTATTATTATTATTATTATTATTATTATTATTATTATTATTATTATTATTATTATTGTTTTTGTTGTTGTTATTGTTGTTGTGTCCATATTGTCAGTGGGATAAGATTTCAATATTATGGACAAAAGGGGAAGCAGAGTCCTTAAGATGTAACGTCATTATGCACACGATATGCACCTGACAGTGCTGGTAATGACCCGTGGTTTGGCCATTCATCATGCTGAACTGGTGTTAGTTTCTCTCTCTCTCTCTCTCTCTCTCTCTCTTTCTCTCTCTCTCTCTCTCTTTTCTTCCTATCACGCCACCTTTCCTGTCTCGTTCATTCCCCAGTATTACCACCTCTTGACACACCCATGACACCCCCCAGCAATATTTCCTCTAAGCTGAGTGAAACTGCTCAAGTTGGTAACACTGTACTCTGGGGTTGCTGTGTTAATAGTTCTTGTGTTTGTGTTAACTTGTGTGGATAACTGTTTGTCTTCTGGGTATCTGACCTTTTGTTTATATCTGTCTGTCTGTCTGTCTGTATATATATAGTGTGTCTGTGGTTCATGTTTGTGGATGTTGTCGACGTACATGGAGCCTTGAAGACACCTCTCAAGTGTGTCATGAGTTAGAGTGAGAAGAGGGAGGGAGGGAGGAGAGACGGTGTTAGACCACAAGTGTGACATAAATGTAACAGAGTGACGAGAGACTATGAGAGAGGTGTGGGGGTTTAGCGTCGTCAAACGGCTGCTGTGTATAAACAACATTAAGCCCATTGGTCCTTACATGATAGTGTGCGGTAACACCAGATTGTTCATTAAAAACAGTTTATTGATATCCAACTTTAGATATCTAGGAATAATTTCTTAAAGTAACACATTGATTATTGTGTTATAAAAGATAATTATTTGCCTACTTAAGGGAATATACTCACTTCTGTTCTTCAGTAAGAGTGATGGTGGTATCTACAGCTTTACACCATATGAACAAAACTAACGTAGACAGATAACCAATGCACTTTACTGTATTTCTTTTAACAGACCGCCATTTTAGACGTGATATAAAGAACATCTCGGTATTTAGTAACAAGTTGATAACAATTAGCAGTGACACCACTTTTTCACATCTTCTATTGTGCTCGCTAGTTTATTGATGACCAACGTATCTATCTAAAGTACAATACAGCTTCATAACTACACAACTACCAATGTACTGCCATCCTCCTACACTTACCACGCACCACACGTAACTAACTACACCATGTCAGGCGGTAAGTGAAGGTCAGCTCCCAAACAACAAGAGACCGCCACCAGTTATAGATTGTTTATGACGTTTTATTATGATTAATTAGTGATCTTTCTGTTGATGCTTCTTGTTTGTCTACAGAACCCGGTGACGGCACTAACGTGGGGCCACAACGACAAGAGGGTGTTCGTGGCGACGGGTGCTCAGCTGCACATTGGTCGTGTGTCGCGTCGTGTCGCGTCGCTGCAGCTGCTATGTCGTCTGGCTATCAAGAGCAGAGTCAAGGATGAGGAAAAGGTGGCTAAACTTCCCCTCCCTAAGAGACTGAAGGCCCTCGTCACCTCCCTCTACACCCAAACCATCCGAGTGAGTCACTAGTCATTAGTCGCTCCTGAGTCGTAGATGCATTTTGAAGGACTCTTAGTTGTCCCTGATAACCTGAATCCTTTTAGTCGATTAACTTTCTTGTAGGACAAAAGTCTTCACACGCAGGAAAAATAACTCAACTACTTGTCACAGTCGCCAGTACAAGAGTTTCTTATAGTTCGATATTTTGCTCCGACAGTTAGACTCTTCCGGATTGTTAAAGAAACACTTATGAATCTTAGCCAATGAGTGCCAAGGAGGGATGCCACTTACGAGCCCAGAACACCGGCTGTAAGATGATTATGGTAGGAGTCACTTAATTACTAATATAGTTAATGAAACGTCTCTCAGTATTGGTTTGCTTTTACTTCGTTTAAAAATATCAACAAAGATATTAGCATACCGTGTGTTGTGACTGGAGAAGCCATCAGCTGGTGGGTAAGGAACCATATTAGCTAGGACTTGTTTGTATTCACCGGGGTAACTGAAGTCAGGTGGAAAATTAAAGGTTAATGGCCAGCAACACACCCATCAGGTCAAAGTCAAATGGGGAAAAACAAGGTGAATATTTCGGTCACAACCCATCCATATTGAGAGGGAAGCTAACGTCACGCAGGAAGCTAAGGTCACGTGGGAAGCTAAGGTCACGTGGGAAAAACAAGGTCATCCATGTTACTACTGTACATTAATGATATTAGTGTTTGATTAAAGCAAAGGAAAGACCCACTAAATCGTAAACTATAATGCGTAGTTATTTACTTAAACTTTTCGTAGCAACTGCTGGAAAGGTAAATTAGTTTTGTCATATAAAGGTATAACGCTGAGGGTATTATCACCAAGCAAAAAGCAATGTTGGATATGCATCAACGTGACCACTGATTTGAGGGTTCTGTTAGAGAGAATATTATCAGACTTACTCTTGCTCATTTTGCTACTTTTTTTTTCTATTTTAATGACGGGGTTTGAACACAGTATCTTCATTGGCGTAAAACTAACACCATCAATGAATTTTCCGAGACGTCTGAGCCAAGCTGTAACTATCATACTTTTAAAAGCATAAATTATGATTAAAACTAAAAGATTCAGCAATACAAGTGACACCATCTGAGCGTTAACATGTCACACTAGTTATATAACGAGACCAAATGAACTGAACATTGGGAAGATGGTTTTCAAAGGTGGACCAAGAGCTGCTCGTAGGCTTCATATGATGTACCGTTCAGTCCAGATGGTACAGTACAGTGGCTCCGGTAGGTTGAATCAGCCAAGTGTAGGAGACTAGCTTAAGATATATCACAAATATAACAACTAAAATGACGTCGAAATTATATTCAGACTCTACAGTAGAATTAGATGAAAAAGTTGAAAGAAACAATACAAGAGTTTATCTTAAGTAGCTAAATTCTCTCATCCTCAGATACGGGGAAAAAATAAAGTTTAATATAAAAGAAAAATGATGAAAATTTTGTGTAATAAGTGAATAACCTTAAGCACACCAGCCACTCACCTAAAGGAGGACCTCAAATACCTAGTTATTATTACACTCCAACAGCTGTTACCTAGACAACATCTCGAGCTACAGTTGACTTTACGCTGGAAAGAATCTAGCGCGCGCTGAACAGGATAGGGCGAGAGAGGGGTGAGAGGGAGGTAAGGAATACAAGAAGAGAATCGGTGAGGAGAAGGAGGGAAGTGGGAAAGAGAAGGAGAATGAGGGAAAAAGTGTAAATAAGAACGGGATGTGTAATGGGTTAGTGGGAAAGAAGAGAAAGGTCGGTGTTAAAAGAAGAGGAGATGAAGGGAGGAAGAGTGGGAAAGGAGATGAAGCAAGTGGTAAGTGAGAGAGGTGCCACACGTACCTTGAAGAGCTCTTTAATGCCAGGGATGACGTCAAACACCGGTACATTATGTAAGCTGGCGCCTCCCTCACCTTCCACCATGTATGCCGGTGTTCATTATTTAGTGGATATTTTGATTTACAAACACACACACACCTGTACACATACACGCACACACACACATACACACACACACATACAAACACACTCACACACACACACACACACACACACACACACACTATACACACACACACACACACACACACACACACATACCTGTACACACACACACACACACACACACATACACATTCACACACACACACACACACATACCTGTACACATACACACACACACACATACACACACACACACACACACACACACACACACACCCACACACACACACACACACACACACACACACACACACACGTACACACACACACCCACACACACTAATACCAAAGACTATGAGAAGACGGGAAAGCTCAGGCATAAACAGCACAACTCAGTGTAATATTTTCTCAAAGCGTACAGCACACGCCATCTCTTGAGCGCACTACCTAATTACTTATCTTATCTCTAATTTTCGGAAGGTTAAAAAAATGCACTTTCATGAATATTGAATTTAATCTTATTTCATGTACTAAAATACGTCAAACAAAAAACAATAAACAGATGTCAAAATAACAATAAAAAAGATAAGAAACATCTCGAAGCATAAAAATTGCAACAGTTGTCAATACATTCTAAAAATATATAAAATCAAGACAAATAAAATATTACAGGCTGTACTATTTAACATAAACACATTAACTTTTAGCAATCTCAAATAAACACATAAAGCATTAGTGGGGAAATTAGCCAAACAGCCAAGGTAAAAAAAGACATTATAACAACCACAAAATTATGAAGCTTTTAGAACTCATGACAAAACCACTTCATCTGAAAAAAAATTACTGTTATATGTACTTTTAAAATAATTCAGTATATGAAGACAACAAAAGAATCCTGGTGTAGATATAAGTTGGTGCAACGGATCATGAATCATGTAGCCTTAATATAAGGACAAGTAACCATAGTTTTCCATAACTCATCAATATGAAGTACTGTACCTAATTCATAAATGCACAGAAAATGAAGTCAACGTTAGTTTTTATGTTACATCATACCTTCTAAATTTAGGTCAGGGTCTGCATTAAGGCATAGTCTTGACTGTGCAGATGCCAAATAATTTCTTTAGAGAAATGGTGACTGCATACATAGTGGCTTCTATTTAGCTCTTCAAATGTTTTACCCTTCAAAGGTATGTCTTTTTCTTCTAGTATCCTCTGCCATCTACTACATCTGAAGAAATTTATCCAGAATTACTTACAGTTGCTAAAATTATAATAATTATAATACCTGCCCCTAGCATCTTCCATGGAAATTGTTTAACTTTCAACATATTATATAATATATCTAAAATACAATACTTACTTTTCTTTATCTTTGAGGAATCGATGAAATACGAAATCGGTATGTGTATCGTTTCTCCGGTTGCAGATTATGCACGGGTGTCCTTTACTTGTCGTGTTGGTAAGACTGTTCATTTGTATATTGCGCTCGTGTGCGGATTCCGATTGTCATATTCAATGTGTATTGTGTAAACTAGCAGACGACGCGCTCCACACAAGCGACATCTGTCCGCCGCAAACCAAATTTGTGCATTCATTCGTGTGTTAGCCATTACATGTGGATGCCTGAGCTTTCCCGTCTTCTCAGAGTCTTTGCTAATACTCCCACTTTAATCCACAGTGCTATATCCCCGACGCCCATCAGTTAAGAGACTTCGTGTCGCGTCCGCCAGTCAACAGCCAGCGCCTCCACTGTACCATGATCCGTCACGATGAGGACTTAGTGCCCACGCCCGGCGCCTGCTACACCCTCTACCTCGAGTACCTGGGTGGCCTCGTACCTCTCCTAAAAGGCAAGAGGACCTCCAAGATCCGACCAGAATTCGTCATTTTCGACCCACAGGCAGGTGAGGTACAAGGGCAGATGGCTGGTGGTGGAGATTTGTATAAATATTTTGGTCAATTTACTTTTTTCTCTCCGTTGTGTTTTGTTTCGGTGTCTTCTTTTTCTTCTATCACTCACTCTTTCTTTACCCCAACACTCTTTCACTCTCACTAACTCTCTTCTCACTCCTTTACTCTCACTAACTCTTCCCTCCCCTCCCCTAGACGAGGCGTTAAGCAAGGAGGCTGGAGATAGGGGCGTGGGAGTGGGACCAAGAGGGATGCTACCCAATGGGATCCCCGTTGTGAGTGATACTTCAGACACTGAGTACGAGGATATGTGCGCCTCACCGAGACTACGACGACGCAAGCTGAAGAAAAGGTAGGTGAGGGGGGGCAGGTGGGGCGTAGGTGAGAGGGGGGGGAGGGATGTAAGGTAGGTGAAAGAGGGGGTAGGGGTGGGGGGTAAGAATGAATAGAGAAAGGTAAGTGTGATGGAGAGAAGGGAAAGAGAAGGAGGGGTGGGAAGGTAGGCAGGAATTAAGGGATGAAGGGAAAGAAGGAGGGGAGGAGAGGGGTGATTGGGGAAGGGGTGTATATGGGGGAAGTTGGGTGTAAGGCCGAGGGAATGAAGGGAGGGATGGGGAGGAGGTTCTGAAATAAAGGGAGGGGGGGAGGGAAGAGGTGAGGTGAAGGGAGGGGAAGGGAAGGGAGGTGGGTCAGTGAGGGAGGGAGGAAAAGAGTTAAGGTAAAGACACAAGGGATGGAAAGGGACAGGTTAAAGGTTGATGGAAGGGGAGGAGAAGGTGTCGGTGGAGGGCCAGAGTAAAGAAGGAGAGGAAGTAGTTGACTGAAGATAAATGAGAACGAAGGAGAGTGAGTGGGAGGGAGAAGAGAGAGAGAGAGAGAGGCGGACAAGATAAAGGAGGAGGAGGAAGAGAAAGAGATACAGTGTGTGTGTGTGTGTGTGTGTGTGTGTGTGTGTGTGTGTGTGTGTGTGTGTTTATGATTTGTACAATTCATTAATTTCCTGTTTTATCTTGTGTTTCTGATGTAAATTTTTAATCACATGAACTTGTTATTGATATACGACATTATTAATTACTTTCATTTATGTTATTTAAAAGGCATCAAATCGCATGTAATTTCCTTCCAGGTTTTGTAATTTTTTATGAGGTTTCCAACACTCTTATGGAAGTTGTAATGTGTTCTATAGTTATAATCTGTATCGATCTGGGGAACACGAGACCATCTGGGGAACACGAGACCATCTGGGGACACGAGACCATCTTTGAGTTACAGATAAAAACAATCTATAAACACACACACACACACACACACACACACACACACACACACACACACACACACACACTGTACCTTCTCCTTATGCAGAGTACAATTTCAAGTATTGCTTATAAACGATCTCATTTACACAGAATACATTTGTTTTGGAGTAACTATGAAAACATCTTATGGGAAATATTACCTTGTACTGAGTGTGTGTTTAGTCATTATTTTGTACTTTAATTCATATCTTACTGCGTCTAGATAATATACAGTACTGGGGGAGTGTTTTTGGTAATCATGTAGAAGTGGAAAAGATATATTGACGTAGTATTTAATGTAGAATATGAATCTTATTTCTTAGGACGTGATTTCTTCCTAAGTTAGGTTAGAGTAGAATCCTATTATATTTTGGGGTGATCCTTCTTAGTATATTTAAATTATAGATACAGTAAAGCGAACTGCCTCAAGAGTCTATTATACTAATTTGTGATGTAATTCCCGTTTGAAACATTAAATCATATTGTATTATACAGGTTCTGATTCCTATAATAAGTGTTTGATCAACTGTTGTCTTGCAGAATACGAGAGCGGCTGGAGAGTGAGGCTGACGAGCTGGTGTACCTAGACACCCTGCCAGAGGTCAGTGTCTTGATGGGGAGCTTCTCAAAACCCGTCCAACAAAACGTTGTAAAAGAGTATACTGTACTGCATGTATTGTGATCAGACTGCATACTTCTACTTCCCTTTGCCTTCCTTTCTTTCTAATAATCTTCGTTCTACCATACAAACATCATTGATATTATGAAGGTCGGGATAAAGGCGTTCATGACTTTACAAAACATGTTCTGATTTTACTGTGGTAATAATGGACTATAATGGACTGTTGCGTCACTTTCATATGAGCGAAAAATAAGTGAGACAAAATCACCGTATCATTCAGGTATTGCTGTGTCTTCAACAATGCAACATAATGATAATACAGTAGTTATTGTCTGAAGTCCTTAGTGGGATGCAGTTTGTGGTCGCACTTTAAGACGAGTTCCTGTTCTATCAATATAATCGATGTTTTTATCTTGAACGTGATGGGAAAATAAGCTAAAAACGAAGTGTGTTTTTTAAATTCGTTTTTAGAATTAATGATTGTGAGGTCCGGATGTTGTGGCACGAAGTATACTAAAATGGAGCTGCCTCCACTAAACATTACTTCTTGCTTCTGTTTGTAAGTAATCTGAATCGAAGTATAAAAACAATAATGGTCGGCGTCCCGGTGACTGAACGTCTCCATTACCACCTCGAGACCTGGTAGAGCTGATAGCGAGTCACATCGGGTAGAAGCAGCCGTCCTACCTTCATCCTCCACTCACAGGCTTCTCCTGCCCAGGGGAATAAGGTCCTGCAGGGGTTGTGGTGAGTGTGTTTGTCCATAGCCTTTTATGAAAAAAACACCGACGCTGGTTACTGAAATGAAATTATATATCATAATATCCACATCACGTGTCTTGGCTGCTGGCGAATGTGGGTTTCCGGGTCTTTGGTCTTGACGACTCACTAGGTATGTGTACGTATTACTGATCTACTTTTATTGAACTGCTGTTAGTCTTTTAAGAATAAAAATATTGCACATTTTAGTGAGACAAAACTGTATACATTACTCCCGTGGTCATTAACCCGTTGATGGCCACATGCGGTGACCTGGAAGATATAAAACAAATCATCTGTTAAGATAAATACAAAATTTATGGAAGGGAAAGGAAGTCCGGTGGGCCGAGTTGGGTAATGTGCCAACCTGTGTAGTATGTGGAGAGCCTGGCACTCTTGTCAACTCAGACAGTAGACCAAGACTCCTGACCAAAAGTGATGTACTAAATTATTTTCTTACACTTATTATAAAGTTTGGCATCTGGCTCGCAGGCTGAAGACTAGGTATGTTTACGTGCACTTAATGAGCCGTGGCACTATGGTTAACAGTGACGACACATGATATAAAAAATCTTATTAGATTATTTCATGTTTCGTATCCTATTGTTTTATATCAATATTAGAATTCAAATCCTTCCTGAAGAATCCAACAACCATGATGTATGTTTCTACGGGTTCTCGGATCCCTTAGGTGTAACATTTAAAAATCAAATAGAAATTAGTTTTTTTTTTCAATTATAGACCGAAAAAAAAATCACCTTTTATGGTAGGAAAAGATGATGTGTAAGAGGAAGAAACGCTGAGGTGACTAAGAAGATAAAAGTGTGAGGGATCAATCAGGATGAATTAATTATTAAAGGACAAGTTATAATACAGTATTAATCAGAGGCAGAATAATTAGAACAAGATGCTGAAGAGAATTACAAGAGAGACGAGACACCAGAGTGAGTCGTACAAGGAGATGATAAGAATAATTATAACAGTGAGACTCCTTCCCTCCCACACTACCACTGAGACTCCTTCCCTCCCACACTACCACTGAGACTCCTTCCCTCCCACACTACCACTGAGACTCCTTCCCTCCCACACTACCACCAAGACTCCTTCCCTCCCACACTACCACTAAGACTCCTTCCCTCCCACACTACCACCAAGACTCCTTCCCTCCCACACTACCACCTCCTTCCCTCCCACACTACCACTGAGACTCCTTCCCTCCCACACTACCACTAGACTCCTTCCCTCCCACACTACCACCAAGACTCCTTCCCTCCCACACTACCACTAAGACTCCTTCCCTCCCACACTACCACCAAGACTCCTTCCCTACCACAAGACTCCTTCCCTCCCACACTACCACTGAGACTCCTTCCCTCCCACACTACCACTAAGTCTCCTTCCCTCCCACACTACCACCAAGACTCCTTCCCTCCCACACTACCACTAAGACTCCTTCCCTCCCACACTACCACCAAGACTCCTTCCCTCCCACTCTACCACTAAGACTCCTTCCTTCCCAGCACTTCAATTGTTTCCTCCCACAGCACCACCGCCTTGTTGAGGTGACGTCCAACATCTGGGGAACTAAGTTCAAGCTACACGGCGTGGCTCCCTCCCTCCCGGCCAACCTGGGGCAGGTGACCTATAAGACGTCGCTCCTGCACCTACAGCCCCGCCAGATGACCCTCGTTATCACCGAGCTCAGGGAGGACATCCCCCCTCGACCCGACCCAAACTTCAACCCTAACGTCTTCTCTGAGGACGAGGAGGAACTGGGTAAGGTTTACTTTTGTATAGAGTAGATACTGTATGTTATATAAGGAATCGAACTTAAACTTTTAGTTCAGGTGGTGTTGAAGAGTGAAACATTGACTTAATGTTCCGGCAATATTGTGTTTAAGTGATGTTAAATGTCACTCCTGTGTTGCTGAAGGAAGTATCTCGAACAACTCCTGCCACATAATATGATTGTGTCCGCCATGATTCTCTCTCTGCCTGTAGTGTAATTCTTGTCACAGCCTTACGTTTATTCTTCAGGTGAGCGTCTGGCCTCTCGACGACCTCCTGATCTGACCTCAGATGTGCCGCCAATTGCGCCCATGACCCCACGCCGGACTCCATCGTCCTACTCCCGTCAAGGGCTCCACACCACGCCCTGGGAAGTCACTCCTCCCAGACAACCTCCGGCGGAGATCACCAACGTGGTGGAGAATAGACTGGACGTAGACGGCGGGTTGGAGGGTGTCGTCCTAGACGCAGATGGGGCTGCCCTCCTTCAGGAGTTAGAGGAACACCCTTACGTGGATTTGGCCACACCTGAGATGCTCCAATTAAGAGAAGGTTTGAGGGCGGAACTACGAGGAGAGAACCACGTCCCCCTCCACCACTCGCCAACACACATGAAGCCCTCCCACGCCACCCACCCGCAGGAACCTCACGTCTTTTCTATCATGCGTGGCTCCGCGCCCTCCAGCCCCAAGCACTCCGTCAGCGCCTTCTGTTGCGACACCGGCACCATCCAGTCACCAAAGAACATCGTCGCTCCCACTCCTATCGTCACCCGTAATTCGTCCACCACGGCGGCGATGCTGGAAATCCACGGGAGCGATGTGGGCGTCGCGGTAGCTGGGCGGGCGGGACTCAAGACCACCTCCAGCAGGACGCGCACCGAGGAGCTCCGCCTGGTCACTTCCGACAATGCCCTCCATCACCACTTCTCTAACAATATCTCTTCGTCCTCCTCCACCAACACCACTAACTCCGTCACCACCAATAATATCAATAATAACCTCAATAACAATAATAATAACACCAACAACAATAATAATAATAACAACAATAATAACAACAACAGTAACAGTAGCAGTAGTAACAGCAGTAGCAGTAACGGGAGCAGCAGCTCCAGCAGCAGCGGCAACAGTACCTACCGCAGTCCGCAGCACACGCAGGTATGTCTCGCTCTCTTTACTGTATATATATATATATATATATATATATATATATATATATATATATATATATATATATATATATATATATATTGTATGCTGATAACCACACAGGGAACAAGAAAACACGAAGCTCCCAAGCGCCCTCGTGCCACCAGTCACCGTCAAATATTTGACGGTGACTGGCGGCATTTAGCATTATTTCGCCATGTGAATTGCACGAGGGCGCTTGAGAGCTTCGTGTTTTCTTTTTCCTGTGTGGTTATCAGCATGTACATGGATCACGCGCACCTATATATATATATATATATATATATATATATATATATATATATATATATATATATATATATATATATATATATATATATATATATATATAACCACAAGGAAAGAAGAAAACACGAAGTTTCGTGTAATTCACATCTTCAGGGTGGGTACAGACTCAGCATATACCTAGATCACGCACCTACAGTGATTTACTTGCATATATATATATATATATATATATATATATATATATATATATATATATATATATATATATATGCTGATAACCACAAGGAAAGAAGAAAACACGAAGTTACCAAGCGCTTTCGTGTAATTCACATCTTCAGGTGGGTACAGACTCAGCATATACCTAGATCACGCGCACCTACAGTGATTTACTTGCATATATATATATATATATATATATATATATATATATATATATATATATATATATATATATATATATATATATATATATATGACCAGTGTCACTGCTGACAACAGAAGGCCGTGTAGTCGCCAGTAGCTCTGTGAACATCTTTCTGTTTCCTGATGTTACTGATCAAATGTGTTTCACGAATATATAGAAATTTAGGTTTAAAATGTTTGAATTGATCTATTGATTTTTCCAAAGAGTAATATTTTTGATCACCCACATCACCAAAACGAGGTTAATCCAATCAATAATAATTTTAAGTTATCCCTAACTGAGCAGCAGCAGCAGCACTCTTCATTAGTCTGAAACACTTTAACTGACCCCTGCTGAGTCAGCAACACTGATTTACAACCACTCAACAATAACCTGAATGTCCCTTGATGACTCATCTTCAGTAATGTTTTACTTTAGTACTTCAGTTTTAATACTTTATAGAAAAAGTGATGTCTTACCTAAATAAAGCCTCTGTACTCTAGCGTTCATTGTACCGTGTAAATCATTAATGGCAATATATGACATGAAGTATATAACCAAATCTTAATAAGTTATGACGATAGGTCATCTTCCGTTGTTTTGAGGTAACGTATGTCGTCTACGCTGGTAGCTTCTCACTCACTCACTCACACACTCACTCGAAAGGTAACTGTTGTATTGAATGATAGAGTATTTCCCATCACGGATATCATTTCTAGGATGTTTATGGAGTATTGCGGTACTATATATCTTTTGTCTCATCTTACGACCTATTCACTGTATCATCATTAACTCTAACACACACACACGACTAATGAACAACACTAACCATCCAACAGGGGTGCAGTAGCGGGAGCGGCGGCGGTGGCGGTGGTGGGGTACGAAGTGACGTGATAAAATACATCGATGAGGAGAGCGGTGAGTCTGACGGACGGTCCTTCACGCCCTCCCCCGCCCGTAACCGATCACGGCCGTTGTACTGCCGCACCCGGAGCAAGAGTGTAGGTCACCTGCACAACATAGACTACTCCTTGGGTGGCCACTTGCCCCATTTACACCAGTTGAGGAACATCGACGCCTTCCTCGCCTTCAGACGTTCCGGATCCTTGATAGACTCCCCGAAGAAGGTGAGAACATCTAGATTCTAGAGGGTTTTAGTGTACAGTATTAGGGTTTTATTCCCCTGTTGTTTGATACCTCACTCCATCTATCGTATATCTGTGTTCCTTTCCGTGTTGTCAGGGTCATGTATGATGTCATATACACAGCATCTTTCTAGTTGTGTCTTAGCGAGGCTTCCTGGATACTTCGGTGTAGTCTTATTTAATAGTTTTTTGTTCCCTCATTTTAAAGGTACAAAAAGATACTATTTCTTGAATTAAAAAAAATAAAATAAAATTATCGAAAATCCGACCAATCTACTGTATATCATCATAACACAATTTAATCGGATTTAAAACACCTTAGTCTATCTTGTTAATGTCTCCCTGCGTTCGCGGCTGTCCTAACCTAACCTAACCTAACCTAACCATTTTTGCGTATACCCACTCAATATTCAACACGACGATGGTATGTTCTCATTCTGGTAAACAAAGTCAAATATAAATGACTTTTACTTCAGCACTAATATCTGACACATATAAGTTATTCTGGTGTCTGGGTGAATTTCCTTAAGGGTCATTAACACTCTGCAACACTTGGAAAACTCCCCTTACCGCAAAAATATATCATCCCTGTAGACAAGTTGAGCCATTAAACCAGGAAGATAATAAAAATAAGATGTCTTTTATGAACTCAACAGTCTCTAGTGCCGTCTACACTCACTCATCACTCCACCTGTCGTTCTCAGCGTCAGGTTAGTGAGAGCCAACCACGACGGCCGTGCCTTGCGGATTGCGGGAAGAGCCGTAGCCTGGACTCCTCTCCTTTCATCATCAAACGCCGCGTCAGCCACGGCACCCATCACCACCACCCTCTCGCCGCCACCACCATCACTACACTCACTACTACCACCACCACTACTACTACTACCACTACTACCGCCACTACTACCACCACCGTCGATCTCCACCCACACACCCCGAGCCACGCCGAAAAGCAACAAAAGAACTTCACCAGAACTTTGAAGGTATTGTAAAGTGGTGTTATTTATTTTGTTTTAACACACACACACACACACACACACACACGCACACGCACACACACACACACACACACACACCAAATGCAGTATAATATCACCTATTATGCTTCTCCTTCAGCGTCATCTATGTAAATAAACAGATGAACAAATACATAAACAAAGGAACGATGATTATTAACTTCTGTGGTCTCTGGGTCTTATAACATTATTAACATTCAATCATTATAAGATCAACAACATTCCTTGATCCTTACAATGCTAATAATAGTCTTGGAAAATAGAAATTAGTTCTTAAGCATTATACGAGTAATTAACTCTAAATATTGTATAAATTAATAATAACATATGAAACGTGTATGATGATTTAATCCGAGTGTAAATAATATTCCATCACGTGTCCCCAGGAGAGCGTGTTAGTAGAAAGGTTGGCAGCGTTACAGAGAGAGTGTCACCAAAACCCACCGCCCACACCCCGCCACCAGCCCACGCCCGATACCGCCCGCCGCCTCAACACACCTACTCACACGCCCACCATCTCCTCCGCCCACGCCAGCAAAAGCATTCCCTCCACGCCCGTCAAGACAAGGAAGGCGCGGCGACACCAATCGTCTTCTCCCATTAGGTATGTGTACTATCTGGTCTGTGTACTATCTGGTCTGGTTATTATCAGGTCTGGTTACTATCTGGTCTGGTTATTATCAGGTCTGGTTACTATCTGGTCTGGTTATTATCAGGTCTGGTTGCTATGTCGCCTTCTGCCAATCAGATCTGTTATTCATCAGGTCTAGTTTTTATTAAAAGCAGTGGCTATTCAGACGCCACCGCTTGAATAGCCTGGTAGTCCATGCAGCCAGAACGGCTACATAGACAGCCAGGCTCTTCAGCTGTGAACCCATATATATTAACAACTGTATAACCAGACCCTTGTGGCCCTGAATTGGTGAACCTGCCTGCAGACGAGTTACAATACAAATCATTACCATTTTTTGTTATGACTGCGTGTGAATGTTTGTGTCCATTTGTATATTGTGGTACTGGATAGTTCATATATTTTTAAGATGATATAACTTAGACCTCTCAAGTTGCAAGGTCAGGGTTATGAGGCTCCAGCCACCGCCACCAGCGACCAGCGTCTGTACCGTACCCTTGACTATAGGGTGTTTTATCTCAGCTAAGAAAAGATGCCCCGCCCCCTCCTCAAGAGTTACAGCTGATTGCCTGTTGCAAATCTGTCCGATTCCGTTCGGAAGTAATGATGTATTTCTAAATGAGTTTATTCATAATCGTTGGGATGACCGTTTTTGGCGAGAATGATATTTAGCTAAATTATATAAAGATATACATTCATTATTTCAAACAGGAGCACTTAGGAAGTTTATCAGAAATCTTATACATGAATTACTGTCAAACTCTGGTAACAAATTCACACTTTCGGAGGACGCATTTAATACATACTTATTTTTACCCACAAGTCATAGTAAGACAAATTACGTATCAGCAAAACTACATTATGCAAAAACTAACACTTTTAAAGATCACAATCACATTGAACTATTACACGGCCCCTGAAAATTGGTGGATGAGTGTGACAAGACTTGGTCGCTCCAGCGAACAGCCGTCAGCAGAGGCGAAAAAATATGAAGTTGTTCTCAGTCATATTTCCCGCCTCTGCTGACGGTCGTGTAATATTTCAATATGATTCTGGGTTCACAGCTGAAGAGCCTGGCTGTCTAACTAGGCTATTCAACCACTGTCTTTATTAAATCTTCCCCATATCAGGCGTTGTATTTATAAGGTGTCCCGTGTATATGGTCTCCTGCCTGTCTCTTTACAGTACACCAACTGAATATCTTTAGGAATTTTTTTGATGACTACCACAATAACTTCTCCAGGATGATCGATAGCTTGAATACCTTAAGATTTATTTATATAATGTCTCAATAATCTCATGCTTTACAAAAGCTTCCTTAAAACATTGTCAGCTTATTTAAGCTTTATCAAAACCTTGTTTTACCTTTATAAAGCTTCAACATCACAACTTGTTAACTTACTTTGTATATTTTTTGTCATCTTCATGGCGGTGCAATAAATGTTTTCGTTAACTTCATGGCACTTCACTAAAACCTTGTGTTACCCTTAAGACACGTTTATAAAACTTTGGGTCACCTTCTAGACACTTCAGTTAAACTTGATGTCACCTTCAGGAAACACCTGCTCAATTCGCCGCTGCTGGCCCGCCGTCGTCAGCGTCGCGGTACCGTAGAGAGCAGTGATGACGAGGTAGTACACTGCTCTAGCGACGCCGAGGTCCTCTGCTCCTCCTCCAACTACAGGGACCTCGAGACCTTCCAGAAGACCCAGCTGAGGAACAAGGTATTGGTGATGCGGGGGGGGCAAGAGGGGGGGGAGCTGTTTAATCTACAGGAAACTAACCACCCTTTCGTGTTCATGTTGTATAGCAAGGAGTTCCTCCGCTCTCTCCTTACCTCCTGTGACTGGTGATAGAAGATCACGAGAAACTACTCACAGGACACCAAATGGTCTAAATATTCACTTGCATTGTTTTCTCATTTCTTTCTGTTCATCTTTTATCACAACCTCTTACTTATTTTCCTTCTCCTCCCTAGCCTCCACCAGTCATTTCTCTCTGACACTTACAACAGTAATTTCAGCCACATAATCAGTTAATTATCTTCCCCAACAACGTACTTGTATAAATGTATATAATCCGTGTGAGCAAAGTGACGTTAGCATTGTGTGCACCGCCATACTGCAGGTCAGAGATGTTTAGTTTACAGACAAACAACGAAACGAATGAAGGTACAGAAATTTAAGTCTGTTATTTTGAAATAGTTTGGGCTTTGTCTCGAAGTAAACAACAATGTTTTAATGATATTGTGTGTTATGTTTAGTAATGGCAATAACAAGAGAAAAAGAAAAGGTTTTACTCTTCACAACACAAAAACACATTATCAGTGAACAAATTTCTAAATTTATATTTATCACGAAATTTTATTCACATTTTCCATAGTTTTACTATGTAATATTGTATTACATTGTGAAGATACAAAATATATTAAGCTTCTTCTTGGTACCTGTACTTGAGCACCTCGTATTTGCAACAGCAGTGTAATGCCGTCGAGTCACCATACCTGTTGTCACTTTCAACAGTACATTAGTGCCAGGCCTCCCTGACGTGCAACACAGCATTAGGAAACTGGGTAACAAATGTCTCTCAGTTCAGAAGTGACGTGTAAACAAAATGTGACGTCACAAAAACTTTTCAATCTTCGACAAGTTATAATATGTAACACTTCTCCTCACCATTTATCACGTCTTTCCCATCTTCTACACTCTCTTCACCACCCCTTCATCCTCCATACACTAACGCTGTCTTCTCCAACCTCTGCTGCCACCTTCATTGTCTCATTCATCCCAACACTGTCTTCTGCACTCCCTTCACCCATGCACTAATCTTCTCTTCTCCCTATCTTCACCACTCTTACACTAACACCGTCCCTCTACCTCCTACATCACCTATACACTAAAACTTCTCAGTCCTCCTACAATAACACCTTGTCCACTGTTACAGCTACGACGGTCACGGGGACGGAGTGAGGGAAGCGCCGGCAGTGGTGGAGACAGCTCGGGGTCGTCCACTCCTCGGCACAGACAGTATGTGATGCACAACAAGGCTCCGCTGTGGAACGAGAACTCCCAAGTATACCAGCTGGACTTTGGAGGCCGCGTCACCCAGGAGTCTGCCAAGAATTTCCAGATAGAGTTTAAGGGGAAGCAGGTGAGGGGAGAAGGTGTGAGAGTAGGATGGTGAGGGGAGAAGGTGTGAGAGTAGGATGGTGAGGGGAGAAGGTGTGAGAGTAGGATGGTGAGGGGAGAGGGTGTGATGGTAGGATGGTGAGGGGAGAGGGTGTGATGGTAGGATGGTGAGGGGAGAGGGTGTGATGGTAGGATGGTGAGGGGAGAGGGTGATGTGAGAGTAGGATGGTGAGAGAGGGTGTGATGGAAGGATGGTGAGGTGTGATGGTAGGTGGAGAGGGTGATGGTGGGATGGTGAGGGAGAGGCAGTGGTGGATGGTAGGAGAGGTGGTGGTGGGGATGGTGAGGTGTGATGGTAGGATGGTGAGGAGAGGGTGATGGTAGGATGGTGAGGGGAAGGGATGGTAGGATGGTGAGGGGAGAGGGTGTGATGGTAGGATGGTGAGGGGGAGGGTGTGATGGTAGGGATGGTGAGGGGAGAGGGTGTGATGGTAGGATGGTGAGGGGAGAGGGGTGTGATGGTAGGATGGTGAGGGGAGAGGGGTGTGATGGTGGGAGGGTGGTGAGGGGAGAGGGTGTGGATGGGTGGTGAGGGGATGGTGGGGGGAGAGATGTGTGGGATGGTGAGGGGAGGTGTGGTAGTGATGGATGGTAGGATGGGGAAGAGGGTGTGAGGGGTAGGTGTGATGAGTGAGGATGGTGAGGGGAGAGGGTGTGATGGTAGGATGGTGAGGGGAGAGGGTGTGATGGTAGGATGGTGAGGGGAGAGGGTGTGATGGTAGGATGGTGAGGGGAGAGGGTGTGAGGGTAGGATGGTGAGGGAACAGAGAACAATATAGGAATGAGATGAGAGATTTAGATGAATATTTTAGGTGAATTTGTGATTAATGTTAAAAATATTACATTACTGAATAATTGAGGTTTACCACTACCTACCAGACTAGTGTTACTCTAACCACTACCTACCAATATTTATCTAGTGTGTCACCCCCCGCCAAGCCACTAAGCCGGCCTACCCTCCCAGGTGATGCAGTTTGGAAGGATCGACGGGAACGCGTACACCCTGGACTTCCAGTACCCGTTCAGCGCCATGCAGGCCTTCGCTGTGGCCCTCGCCAATGTCACCCAGAGACTTAAATGATATAGGATGCACCCAGAGAGCCAGGTATATTCCCGGGAGATGGACTCATGGTGTTTATAGGTAAAGGTGTAGTAACTATTAAGTGTCGTGTTAACATCTGATACATTTCGAGATTCACTTTAATTTCATCACAATATTCTGTAAATCGTTTCACATAGATATCAGTGTAGAGTACAGTTTACTTCTGTAGATAACGACTCTTGGTATTTCAGAACTCATTACTGATGATGAACATGTCTGTGTATTATATTACTGTGTTAGGGTTACCTGGTTTATTTTGTCATTATAATTATTCTTCAATAACTCGCTTAACAGTTCTTGGACAGTGTGTTTACGTGTTGTGTACATAACACCACTCAGAATCACTACAAAAGACATTCATCAGTGTTACTAGGACCTTTACCTATATTTCTTCATAAACCTTAGTGTTGTAAGTCAACTTTGTAAAACTATAATTTGCATTTTTTCGTCTGTCTCAGTTAATAACTTTTTACCATACACTGTTCTACCTGTTCTGTCATACCTGGAGGACTCACACTATACACGAGACTCCAAACATTATGTTTTTCATCAGTTATGCGTGTTTTTTGTTTATCAAGATTGCACTACCGCCTCCAATCATTATGGTCACCCAGTGTTGTAAATTGATTGTGTTGGAAGAATACTGGCTAATCATTAACCATATACTGCCCTTGGGTGAAGCTCAAATGCGAGGCCTGTCTGCTACGGGCCAGAAATGCTGTGTTTGGACTTTAATGAGATCAATTGACTCGGAGTATCGAATCATACAGAGACTGATTCAAGACCAGTTTGAATCATTATCTGCTTTACAACTCTTCCTTCCTTCCAGGTTGTTCCTAAGCTATTAAAACACAGTAAGAAATGTTTAACACCAACACTTCCTGGCCTTATTCTCTTGAACTGAATTCTTTCTGGTAATAAAAATAAGGCATCGATGGAGGTAAGACTTGTTTTCTATAACAATTGGTTATTCTGTCATAGCGAGAAATGGATTCCAATGCTGCCATCGGGTATCTGAGGAAGGAGGGACGTTCTTTAAAAACATCATCAATATTATTTATAAAACATGGCAAATGTGGAGAGAAACATGGGGTCTCCGTCAAGGACTCGGGAAACAGAGGTCCAGCAGGCGTTGTGTATGGAGGCATATGAGGAGATAGTGGACGAGGGTGTGGTTGTCTGGTCTCCCACGTATGGCACAGGCGTGTTATTGGGACAGTTGGTCTTACAGGTAAAGTCCTACTCGCATCCCTTCCCGGACACTAGAGAGATCAGGGACTCTATGGGGGGGGCATCGTGTCAGATGGAGTAAGCGTCAGGAGGATCCATTACTTCCCGAGTCTCTCTTGTTTAGTGAAATCAGATCCAAAGATGTTCAAGGCATCCACAAAAACCATCTTATTTGTCTTTATTTTCCGATGACAGTGTGTGAGCAGCTTGTGAATGTTTTGGACGCAAGAGGGAATTATTTTTTTTATCTTTTGCAACACAGTTTATCACTTACTGTATTTATTCAAGTCGGTCACCGTTCCCAAGCTTTCACTTTATACTCCATTATGTATCAATCCCAGCTCTGGCAAGCCACCCCCGCCCCCTGCCTCCCACCACAACTAATGATCTAATAGTTACATACGTTACCATCCATTGTTTCATGTATCCATACACAAGAAATACCGGAAGACTTTACTTACCCATTTCCTGGAAGCTGCATCGCTAACTTTTTAAAACACCTTAAAAACAAGTAGATCTTTTTTTACCGACCAGGGTCTAGCTAGTTCGTTGCGTTGTGTTTTCCTGCATTAATGTGGTTATATGTCAGGTAACGTCATAGCCACACCAGGCGCTGACGATACTGTATAATTGGAGTTATGGGACTTTTTCCAATATGTATTACCCAGGCGTCAACAATTTCGCTCCACATTTATAGTGTTTCTTGTAGCCATATTTCCTTCCTTTCCTTGTGTCACTATGCATTCACCATACTTGACTTATTGTACCACCATCTGTTAACATGTTTGTGTTCCACAGGCCGCTCATAGCCACAGTGTTGTGGTCCTCGAGTTCTGGTGACGTCACGTCCTGCACCACGGTTGCCAGAGGCTGCTGGGGGAGATTTCTGTGTTCTTCTGGTGAAAATAAGTTGTTATGAACATTTAATTCCGTTTAGTGTTGCCGCGAATGTTTACAGACAATGATATTACAAAGAATACTTTTGAGACAACATATTGAATGTTTTAACCGATACTTCTGTTCACTGAAAATTTCAAGAAGGACGAATGAACAGCTTTTGTGTTGGCAGTTAAGAAACTCTCAGACAGGTATTTATGTTGCTGTCGTGTCAGTGCCTGAGGTATGATAACGCTCACTTTGTATGCGTATACATCACTTTTGTGTGTTCTATACAGTTTGCCATTTTATAGAGACACTGCTGACAATATTGTATGTGATACTATTTATTGCTTTGATTACAAGCAAAGAATATGTTGTACATTTACACAAATAACAGTTTCCACTTTAGCTTTTAAGGTTTTTGTGTTTTAGTTGCAGAAAAGTGTGGCAGGTTCATAACGAATTTTGGCCTTCGTTTTTGACCGCGAGACGTTTATAATTATTAAGTTAAAAGTGAACCTTGTGTGAGGCGGGACTTAAGGCTGAAGTCGTCCAAGAGTCTCACGTGTTTTGTCGAGGGCAACAAAATGGGTGATCTCAATATAAAAAAAAATGATAAAACCAATCTAGTCAGTTGTAGTTGCTGTGAAATGCCACTTGATATGGTTAGCTATACTAGTCCTCCTTCTCCCACCACTCCGCTAACTCCTCCCGTTATTGTAAGCTTCTCTGAGGTATTCACAAGCACCACTTCCAAGTCTTAACTGCTTCTTAGCTCATCTTCTAAGAACATAAATTGGCTTTACTACACATCGAAACATGGAGGCTAACTGGTTGTCTTTGCCACACAGCTGTAGTAGATTATGTAGCCGTAGATATATGAACACTGACTGTAACTCTTGGCATGTTGTGAGTGAGAGAGTCTCAGTATGGGCAGGGAGTGGAAGTGTCACTAGGTGGGTAGGGAGTGGAAGTGTCACCAGGTGGGCAGAGAGTGAACGTGTCACTAGGTGGGCAGGGAGTGGACGTGTCACTAGGTGGGCAGGGAGTGGACGTGTCACTAGGTGGGCAGGGAGTGGACGTGTCACTAGGTGGGCAGGGAGTGGACGTGTCACTAGGTGGGTAGGGAGTGGACGTGTCACGTGTCACCAGGTGGGCAGAGTACGTGGGTGGGCAGGGGAGTGGACGTGTCAAGGTGGGCAGGGAGTGGACGTGGGTGGGCAGGGGAGTGGACGTGTCACTAGGTGGGCAGGAGGGACGTGTCATTAGGTGGGCAGGGGGATGTGTGTTCATTAGGTGGGCAGGGGAGTGGACGTGTCATTAGGTGGGCAGGAGTGGACGACAGGTGGGCAGGGAGTGGACGTGGCATTGGGTGGGCAGGAGAGTGTCGTGTCATTAGGTGGGCAGGGAGTGGACGTGTCACGTACGTAGGTGAGCAGGGAGTGGGGGTGGACGTGTCACAAGGTGGGCAGGGAGTGGACGTGTCACTAGGTGAGCAGGGAGTGGACGTGTCACAAGGTGGGCAGGGAGTGGAAGTGTCACTAGGTGGGTAGGGAGGGACGTGTCACTAGGTGGGCAGGAGTGGACGTGTCACTAGGTGGGCAGAGAGTGGACGTGTCACTAGGTGGGCAGGAGTGGAAGTGTCACCGTGGGCAGAGGAACGTGTCACTAGGTGGGCAGGGAGTGGACGTGTCACTAGGTGGGCAGGGAGTGGAAGTGTCACCAGGTGGGCAGAGAGTGGACGTGTCAGGGTGGGCAGGAGTGGACGTGTCACTAGGTGGGCAGGGAGTGGACGTGTCACTAGGGTGGGCAGGGAGTGGACGTGTCACTAGGTGGGCAGGAGTGGACGGTCACTAGGTGGGTAGGAGGACGGTCACTAGGTGGGCAGGAGTGGACGTCACTAGGTGGGCAGGGAGTGGAAGTGTCACTAGGTGGTAGGGAGTGACGGTCACTAGGTGGGCAGGAGTGGACGTGTCACTAGGTGGGCAGAGAGTGGAGGTCACTGTGGGAGGGAGTGGACGGTCACTAGGTGGGCTGAGAGTGGACGGTCACTGGGTGGGCAGGAGGACGTGTCACAAGGTGGGCAGGAGTGGACGTCACTAGGTGGGCAGGAGTGGACGTGTCACAAGGTGGGCAGCGAGTGGACGTGTCACTAGGTGGGCAGGAGTGGACGTGTCATTAGGGTGGGCAGGGAGTGGACGTGTCACAAGGTGGGCAGGGAGTGGACGTGTCACTAGGTGGGCAGGAGTGGACGTGTCACCAGTGGGCAGGAGTGGACGTGTCACTAGGTGGGCAGGAGTGGACGTTCTCGATGGGCAAGGAGGACGTGTCACAAGGTGGGCAGGAGTGGACGTCACCAGGTGGGCAGAGTGGACGGTCATTAGGTGGGCAGAGAGTGGACGTGTCATTAGGTGGGCAGGAGGGACGTGTCATTAGGTGGGCAGGGAGTGGAAACGTCACTAGGTGGGCAGGAGTGGAAGTGTCACTAGGTGGGCAGGGAGTGGACGTGTCATTAGGTGGGCAGGGAGTGGACGTGTCACCGATGGGCAAGGAGTGGACGTGTCACAAGGTGGGCAGGAGTGGACGTGTCACTAGGTGGGCAGGAGTGGACGGTCACAGGGGCAGGGACGTCAGGTGGCAGGGAGGGACGTCACTAGGTGGGCAGGAGTGGACGGTCACCAGGTGGGCAGAGAGGGACGTGTCACAAGTGGGCAGGGAGTGGACGTGTCACTAGGTGGGCAGGGTGGACGTGCACCAGGTGGGCAGAGAGTGGACGTGTCACAAGGTGGGCAGGGAGTGGACGTGTCACTAGGTGGGCAGGAGTGGACGTGTCACTAGGTGGGCAGGGAGGGACGTGTCACTAGGTGGGCAGGGAGTGGACGGTCATAGGTGGGCAGGAGGATGTCGGGGCAGAGGAGGGACGGTCAAGGTGGCAAGGACGTCGGTGGGCAGAGGGACGGTCTGTGGGCAGGGGGGACGGTCATGGTGGGCAGGGAGTGGACGTGTCACTGGTGAGCAGGAGTGGACGTGTCACAAGGTGAGCAGGAGTGGACGTGTCACCAGGTGGGCAGGGAGTGGACGTGTCATTAGGTGGGCAGGGAGGACGTGTCACAAGGTGAGCAGGGAGTGGACGTGTCACTAGGTGGGCAGGAGTGGACGTGTCATTAGGTGGGCAGGGAGTGGACGTGTCATTAGGTGGGCAGGAGTGGACGTGTCACAAGGTGAGCAGGGAGTGGACGTGTCACTAGGTGGGCAGGAGTGGACGTGTCATTAGGTGGGCAGGAGGGACGTGTCAGGGTGGGCAGGGAGTGGACGTGTCACTAGGTGAGCACCAAACACAACCAAGGACGTGTCTAGGTGGGCAGGTGAGTGGACGTCACTAGGTGGGCAGGAGTGGACGTGTCATTGGTGGCAGGGGACACACCGGTGGGCAGGAGTGGACGTGTCACTAGGTGGGCAGGGAGGACGTGTCACTAGGTGAGCAGTGGACGTCAAGGTGGCAGGCCAGTCATGGTCACACGGTGGCAGGAGGACGTCACAAGGTGGGCAGGGAGTGGACGTGTCACTAGGTGAGCAGGGAGTGGACGTGTCACAAGGTGGGCAGGGGATAAGGAAAGTTAAGTAAATACCTATTGCCCCCCTCCACACACACACACACACACACACACACACAGAGAAAACTGGAGTTTGGCAGGAAAAGTTATTCTTGACCCGGTGGTTCCTCCTCCCTCGGGTAGTAACCGCTGACTGCCCAAACACAATTTCTAACAATACCGACACTGTGAGAGTCTGTCAGTGTGATGAAAAAGTAAACAACAAATAATATGGGTGAGAGGAAGGTCATGATAATTATAATTCACACACACAAAATATACGTCAGTCAGGTTCTTGGTACAAATACTTGAGGCTGGCCCGAACTAAATTATTCTACGCTTGCCAGTTTTGTCAGCTTAAAAATCCTGCAGACTATTTTATCATATTAGGAAATTTCAGAATGAGGGATTTGTTTTTTTCAGGGTGATTTTTTTTTCAGAATATGGTGAGAGTGATGTATATAATAGTCATCTTTTTCTTGTCAATTATAGAATTAAGTATTAATGTACGTAATGAACAATCAACACTGACCTGATTCCAGAGTTTAACAGAGTGTATTCTAGGGCCTCTTTTTATTGACAATTATATCTTCATTCTCTTAAGTGACATTCAAATTTAAGGAAAAGTAATTTGTGTATTTTTCATTATTTTTTCCCATCAATATGGTTTTCATGTCGAGATTTAGTTTAAAGATATTTTATTTATGTTTTATGAAGTTATACACAGTCTTTAGGATGCTACCATTTGTATCTAATTTTGTACTGTGAAATTCTCTTCAACAGCTAGTCCATCCCAGACCCTGAGCAGCTATTTTGTACAGTGTGCGTAGCGGGTAGACATTTTTGTACATACTATAATGAGAAATGTACAGATGAATTATTATTATTTTTGGTTGACAGTTTTTGTGTTCCTTTATGATGCCCTGAGCGATGAAGAGTGTCTCCCACGAACGAGGAGTCAGATGTAGCACCTGTAGCCGTTGGTGTGTCACTCACTAGTGGAAAAAACAAGCATTGTTTTGCCGGTTAAGGAACTGACTAAATAATTGAGATTTTTTTTTTAATGGTACGAATTTATCGATATAAAAGATGCACATGTGTCTCCTGAGTCTTATGTTGTGTATTGGTGTTACAGGGGAACAAACAACTCATAAGTTTTATATTAATAATGGATGACAGCAAACATATCACAAGATTATTTTTGTGTCAGAAAAGGTAGAAAAAAAAGAGGTCTATCATTCGTAGGTCCAAAGTTGTCGACCTTAGTTTATGAAGTTGACAAAATATTAGATGGTGATACAGTGAAGGGAATATGCGGGGCAAACTTATACACCATTTTGCTCACCATTACTTACTGTGTTGTACACTTAGTGCATCACACAGTCGATGTTTTTAACTGAACCAACGTTTACTGTAACTCCTGGTGCGTCATGTTTACCAATACTTAATGTTTCCTTACTATTTTCATAGTGTAAAGGAAACAGGACAAGAAATGGGAAGGTTTAGACTCGAATGTTCTCTCCTGCTGAGAGAGAGACTCTCGCAACAGTGACACAAATGCCATCATAACAAAGGTGTATCGCCTGTGTTGGCACCCGGAGTGCCTGGCTCTCTCTACACTGTCCTCTATGTTCTTGATGTTATAACTTTGTCTCTTATTTATTGATAACGTGAATGTTTTGTTAGGGAGTGTGTGTTTGTAAACATTAATGATGTATTAAACTGACAAGGGCTTCTCAACATACGTGATCCCTCAATATTTATGAACATGTAGCAGTCTACCTAAAACATCACATATACTGTAAACAAGAAATATCCTACGTACTGTACAAGATCACTTAAATGTTGGTAATAAGAGGATCTGTACTCACCACAGCACTTAGAAATTAATCCAAAGCTTCGTACTTATCTGCTGTGTCACACTAACATAAACACTCGTGTTCAACCAGACTACTTAATAACTGTAGCAGTTAGTGTTTACGTTCACGTCTTGACACTACCTGCATCCGATAGTCTGAAGTTGAAACACTACAATACCATAAAGGCCATCGTTTAATTTTTCATTGTTTATTGTTTATCTTCATCCTCTCAGAGCTAGAGGGGAAAGCAATTCTCTATTTCACATTATATATTGTGGGGTAAAACCATACAGAACACTTGAGGCTGGCCATACTGAATATACTGTGCAGCTTAACTCTGACCCTTGCGGCACTAAGTCTGGCTGTCTCCCTCAAGCTTACGTGTCACGCTGGAAAGTGAAATTAATCGTAACTATTTGTCATTTGCAAAACTACGATTATACATATATATATATATATATATATATATATATATATATATATATATATATATATATATATATATATATATATATATATATATATATATATATATATATATATATATATATATATATATATGTGTGTGTGTGTGTGTGTGTGATATTTCAGAATTCTTATCCATCAGTTACGGGCCAGTGTCCATACCCCTCTGAGATCTGTAAACAAGGGTAAGTTCTTCACGATGTGTTTGGTTCAGTTCTCTGACACTTTAATTTAAGACGTGTCTGTTGTACATCCCAGCTTTAAGTTGTAGTTGACTCTGGAACTACACTGTTTCTTGTTTTGACTTTGTGTGAAAATTACTTTTTTCATTATTCTGTTAGACTATTTTTTTTTCTGCTCCAGTTCGGTTTAATTATAATTTCCGCGAACCTGTAGTTGGCATTATGTCGGTGCAACACGCAACTAGTGTGTGTGTGTTATATTAAGTTCTTGTCTTGGTGTTGATGGTAGATTCGTTTTTTTCCGCGAGCTCAGAGTAAGATACTGTTGGTGTCCACTGTATCTTACCCAGGTATATGACTACCGAATATATATTTTTGTTCAGTAGATTGACAATGTGATTTTATCTCCTTTTCTTTTCAGGTAAATCCTGAGAATATTTTTGTTAGGGTTGTACAATCTAGTTTGTTGTAACGGTTTAACAGCCTACAACTTTTATATTATAATAATCAAAGCATTTCTGTGATTACTTATGTATATTTGTATGATTATTATTTGCGTATTGGAATTTGCAAACATATTACTTATATATAATTATTACTTATGTACAATACAGGTATGTACATTTTGCATTTATAAGGTTATTATTTTTTTCAACAAGTAGTATCATCAACTTACTGATCCAACACAGTACATCATTATTTTATCTATTCAGTTAACTAATTCATCACATTCCAGAGTTTGTTGTAATTTTACTCACAAATTGTTTTATACTTTGACGTGACTTTCGCTGAGTTACATCATGCTGTTTCCTCTTCCGAGTCGTTATATCCTGTCGTAATTCTGACTTGTGGAAGACTGTTGTGACTTACTGTGCTACATCATTTTATCAGACTTGTGTCAGAGTGTAGTAACTTTCCCTTCCTACTAAGTCTTAGTCTTCATTGTTTGTCAGCCTGGTGAAACTTATTTAACTCATGCCACTGTTATAACTTCCACTTGCTTATGCCTGAGTGTTGTAACTTTCACTTACACGACACTGTACTTACGTCACACTATTGTAACTTTCACTTACATACCATATGTCAGTCGGCTGTAATTTTCGCTTTCGTAAGATCTGACTGTCGTAACTTTCACGTCCTTACTTAGTTATAACTTTCACTTACTTATGTAAGATGGTTAAAGCTTTCATTTACTCATGTAACATAGTTATAACTTTCACTTTCTTATGTAAGATAGTTATAACTTTCACTGAACTATGTCAGACTACAATAAGTTTCTCGTAATGACATCAAATTGTTGTTATTATCACATTATTTGTGCTTGATTGTTGTAACATTTACTTACTTAAGTTAGGCTGATGTAACTTTCCTTTAGTTATGTTAGTCTGGTGTATCTCTCATTCACTTACATCAGAGTAATACCATCATACTTGAAACTTTCACTTACATAGTTGTTGCAGACTCATAACTTTCGCACTTTATATTGAACCTTTGTACCTTTCACCAACGTCCTTCTAGTGGACTGGTGTACTTACGTCAGAATCTTGTAACTTTCACTTACTTATTACAGACTGTTGTAACTTTTTCTTATTTAAAGCACTGTCGTAACTTTTACTTGCTTACGTCCGAATCATAACTTTCACTAACATCGGACTGTTGTTACTTTCACTTGTAACTTGTGCTGACATTGATGTTGTTCTGTGTACTAATCCAACTTTCACGTGTTGAGTTATTATATATGGAAAAATTAGTTGAGAGATGCCAGTTACTATTAAAGTGTTGATTATCCTTGCCAGAGTCGGATATTTATAATAAAATACTTATTAAGTAAATCCACCTACTTATAAGTATGTATATGATGAGAGTGGTCTGTATATTTAAGTATGCTATGTATGTTGTATATATTATGTTAATGTATGTGATATAATATTTATTAAAGCGTATATTATTTAAGCAAAGTTATGGTAATGTAATAACTGACACGACTGTTATATGCATTCACAAGATTAATTAGTTTATGTAATTATTCTTATTTACAAAATAATAACTTTAATTATATTTAATGGCACTAAAAGTAAAATACAAAACCGTATCATTACGATGGTGGTTATTTATTTTATTTTGTTGGTAAAGAATTAACAATGTAATTTATCTGAAGTGATAGTTAAAGATCGTTATATCGATATATGGAACGTATTGAGATGTTTAAGAAAGAGATCTATTAATGTATTCCTTTAACCATAAACGTAGGCCTACAAGCATGATATATACAGTATGTATATATATATATATATATATATATGTATATATATATATATATATATATATATATATATATATATATATATATATATATATATATATATATATATATATATATATATATATATATATATATTATTTCAAGAAATTGTGAATGATGAACAGAGTAGTAGGACAAGAACACCAGAGAAAATGACCATAATGTAGATAATACATCGGCAACTTAAACTTTCGGCTACATTGAGGTAATATTAATCTTAATGTGTGGTTCTCTACCTCACAGGCCACACTACATATTCCTCGTGTCATTCGATAACGGGACAGTCGTCACCTACTGTTGGGAGATTATTGGAGGTGAATTTTACGAGTTTCGTGTAACACCAGATATTACTCTCAACTGTGACGACAAACACACAAAGAGAATAAACACAAGGAGGCTGACACTGATACAAGTATTATGGAAAAACAGAAGAAACTAAATTTACCACAGATCGTTTTCCTATTCAAAAGCGTTTGTTATTTTCATCATTTTGAAGTACTTGTATCAACTCCAGAGCGACAGTTGAAAAACTGATTCAAGATAAACAATGATTAAAGACTCCTACAATAGAGAGGACCTGAGGGTAGTGAGTACAGTACAGGTCGAGGTGCTGCTGCAGTAGTCGTCTTTACTTCACACAGTAATTATCAGCCTCATTAATATGGAATATTTACTACAGGTCCTATTATTTACCACCTGTAAATGATAGATTTCATGCACTTTTTAAATATATAAATATATATAAATATACATATAAATATATATATATATATATATATATATATATATATATATATATATATATATATATATATATATATATATATATATATATATATATATATATATATATATATATATATATATACTAAATTAATTCTAATACATAACTTATCATCAGCACTTCCATATAGTAAATACAGTACTGCCACGCTCCGCCCATAATCAACCAATCTAGTCAATTACAAAGCTCGATTTTAAGACACCGAAATTACAGTCACAAGTCAGCTAATGATATATGAATTCCTTTAGGAATCCTGTATATTGGCTTGATAACCGACCAATCACGTGAAAGGTTGGCGATACAGACGACATATCCCGCGTTAGATTACTTTCCTATATGTACAGTACATAATAACATACAGTCAGTTACACCTCTCTTACTGATGGTGTGTGTGACCCTAACTGGCAGCCTTTCTAATGCGTTGAACATGAAAGACTCTTCCCGGGTGTAATTATGGTTCGTTGAACGTATTTGAACCTCGCCAAAAGTAATTCTAGCGCGTTGAACGTGTATGATCCTCGTCCGGGGGGCATTCTGCTGCGTTGAATTTGTGTGACCCTCACCGTGGGTCAATTTTGGTGCGTTGAACCTGTATGTACAGTAAGCGCGGTGTGGGAAGTTACTCAGACACAATGAGCTCGTGTGGTCTTCGCTGGGGGATATTCCTGGTGGTTGAGGGGGGTGTTGTCAGGACGTACACCAGGCTCTTTCTTCAGCGTTAGTCGGGCAGGAATAAAGATAATTAACTGTAATTTTGACGCAATAAAAAGAACTGGAAGTCTTGATTAAAGAACAATAGTAAATAAATCAAATCTGAACTTACGAGGGAGACTATTTATATAGACACCAAAGATGATCGTCTTGGTATAATTATATATTCGTATTCATGTTCGTTCAGTCTTATTATAGGAGAGATGTCACCAAGTTTACGCATCACAACTGTATATTTTCTTGATATTGAATAGAAAGTTCGATTTGTTTAATGATTGTATCTCTGAATGACAACACATAAGACATGAAATATTGGCTTCACAAAGGCTTCTAACCAATCAATTTCGTTAAATTTCTATTCGACAATAAGAGCCTTTGGATGATGATTTTCGAGTGTTTCATTATGGTTAAAACTCATCTATTTTTTTTGGTTTATGCATATACACTACCATCAGATCTGTGTCACTGTTTTATATAAGTAAGCCTATATATATAATAGGTGTTAAAAGTAATAAATTTAGGCAGGATTAATGTGAGGGTTCACACTAGGATAAAGTTACTTGTACACAGTGCATTATATCGTATAATACAGCGTTGGTGTTGGTAAGGAGTAGGCAACTCTCTCCCTCAACACCGGGGGAGAGAAATTGATGGCACTTCGCCCGAAATACAATTATTTTTTTGTTAACATGTATATATATATACTCCTAGGTTTGTTTTCTCTGACGAACCACAATAAAACACACACACAATGTCCAAAGACTTAGCAAGCAACGCCCCAGGTATCATGTCCCACTGAACTGGGAATATAGAATTACGGCAGAACCCAAGGCTCAAACTCCATAGGTATGAAGACGTCTTATGTATTTGGTGACTCAACAACCAACTAACCATACAAAAGGCTCAAGACAATATATGACCGTATACTTTAAAGTGAACTATCTAACTTTTTAAATTATCAGTAGAAAGTTAAAAAATAAATGTAAATCAG